GCGTTTTGTAATTGACATAAAACTAGTTTTCAATATGGAGCATTTTTAATGATGAAAATGCCGAAAATGTCCCCTTTGTACAAGTTTAGTGAAGGTGTATACCAGAAACACTATTAGTTTGCTATTGAAACTTATTTTCTTTATCCATGTAACAAAAAAAAAAAGTTACTAAAGAACATAAAGCATCTTGATATTGACAAGAGACCATCAAAGAAAGGAATTTTGCACTTCAACATCTAGTATTTAGCGAGAAATTATAGCAAAGTGTAATATTCGTACATTACAAATATGATATTTGTCCGGTCAACTTTATGTGAAATAATTGAGAAAGGGTAAACGTTACAGTTTAGGTAAGTGAATGATATGACCAGTAACATAACTAAAATATTTTGTTTACTCAAAATAAATAGAAAAAAACTTAAATTCATGAAAATTTGAATGAATGAGCATTCAGATATTCACTAGTCATACAATCTCAATTTGAGTTATATATTAGTGATTAACCAACTTAGTTCCTCATAAGAAAACAATTCCTACACTGCACACAAATGCTTCGATTAGGAAAATTGCCAGCTATATATGTGAAGGCCAAGGGTTGCAAAAACGATGTTTTGTTCAACGGCTTCATAGTCCTATGTAGGAAACGAAATTGTGTGTTTGGGTGTGTCCGCTGCACTTGTTTGTTTATATAAAGGTAAAGATCATCCTGATACAATGTAGTAGAATAGGCCAAAGGTTGCAGAAAAGAGGAGGAGGTTTCATTCGCCAGGTTGGTTTTCTCACGAGGTTTTGTATATGGACAAGGATTGTCTGCCCTCCTTGTTCTCGTGCTCTCCTGTATCCTCATGTTTTGTGTGGTTAAAGTTAAGACACGTCAACATTTTATATTATTTTTTTATAGAGATAATAAGACAAAAATGAATAGTAATATAAAATGTTGATGTGGCTTAACCGTGACTACACAAACAGGAGAGCATGGGAGGGCACGGGAACAAGAATGGCAGACAATCCTTGTCCTTTGTATATAATTCAATGTTCAGTGGGTGCGTTTGGTACGTGGGACGGGACGGGAAGGAACGGGACGAGGCGTTCCGTCCCGAGTTTGGTGCGCCAAAAATGGGTGGAACGGGCTGTTCCACGGGACAGATTTTGGATGTTTTTGCGTCCCACCTCCCCCCTGGAACGGGTTTGTTCCACGTCTGTGGAACACAATGTTTTACCATTTGAAGACAAATATACCCCATGTCTTTTCAAAAATTATACCTTCGTTCCGTCTCGTCATGTTCCTTCCCGTCTGCGTACTAAACGCATCCTGAGATGACTTTTCTACTGACCGAATCGCTTTTTTTAATTGAAGGAATCGGGGCTTCCGGCCCGCTGGTCCCACTGGAGAGGAGAGTTTTGACTGCGAGGGCGCGTCTTATGGCATAGTCCTGTCGTATCTAGGAAAAGAAAATGTGTGCATCTGCGTGTGCTTTGTTCGTGTGTTTATATAAAGGTCATCTCAGTCTCCCAGTATATTATTTTAAGATCATCCATGATTTCATATGAAAACAAAAATAAAGTGCTAATTGCTAAAAAAAGCTTGCATGTGCGTGTGTATATATATATGTATGTATATTTGTGAATTTCAAATTATTGATCGATACATATGAGCTAAAACATTAATAGTTCTTGACATGTCCTCGATCTCGATGTCCTCGGGATATCGAGATGGTCACGTGCTGGCTGACATCCGAAGGGTGATGAAAGTCATTTAATTAATGCAAATGCTATGAACATGTGAAACATGCATATAAATTGGGTTTATTCATGCAATAGGAACGTATAACACAAAACTTAAGTTCAACTATCAACAATGAAATATTAAGATAATGCATGACATGTTCAGAGCATACGTCTAATATAGAGTACACATGAAAATTTAAGATAGAAAAGTGCTATTACAATAGATGTCGAAGTAGAGAGTAAATAGCACGATATCACTGGTAGGGGAATGCCTCGAAGCTCATATTGTATTCCTCATTCCTAGGTCTTAAATGGGGCACAAAACAAACATGAGTGGACCAAATTGATATATATATATATATATAATAAAACAATTATCAACATACTAACCCCCATATTTTAAGTGGCTTATTCAATACAAAATCAGTTCATATTTTTGCAAATTTCAGAGATGCTCACGGAAGAACAGGGCTTCACTGGGCGTCCTATTTTGGAGGAGAGGAAACTGTCATTACATTACTTCGATTGGGCGCCGCTGCATCTTTCCCAGATCAATTTCACGTGGCTAGTTCAAACTTCACTTGGATACTCCAGAGTTCAGTTTGAGGGGGGAGTAATAACTGATATAACAAAAAGGGGTATTATTGTAATTAGGTTATATGGCTATATAAGGGATTGTTTAGCTATCATTTCTTTAAGTTCTTTTGTATACATTTTCTCCATTTTAATCAATACAATCTTTCTGGTTTTTCTCTCTATCATCTTCATCTTTATTTGTACCAATTCTTCATCTTTTACAATGTAGTTAATAATTAGTAAGCCTCACAAAAATTTCGCTTAAATTCAGAAGGGATGATGACGAATGCTTTATCTTGCTGATCATGGATATGGTTTCCTCTTCTCTCACCGAGCGAAAAGACCGAACTCTTTTGTTGCTCAAAAGATTTAAGACGCATATACTTTTTACCTGCCTCCAGTACTCACCATAAGGAGCAGATGCAACGTCGTTGTAGTTGTATAGAAGCTTCTAAACGATGGTGGACTTGGGACGGTTAGAAAATGTGAGGTTATGGGTTTTCATGATCTCACGGGCAGCCTCAGCTGAAGACACAACTAGGACTGGAACACTTCCAAAGTGGAGAAGCATGAGAGGGCCATGGCGTTGAGACAAGGCTTGAAACGAGCGATGAGGGTGCAACCCTACTTGGTGCAAGTTCCCAATGATTGGGAGCTTCGGTGGAGAAGGTGGTGAAGGGGTTTTGTTGGTGGTTGTAGCGGAGGAGTACCATCGGTATAGGAGGATGAGGAAAATGGCCAGCAGAGTGAAGGCCAAAGGTTGCAAAAAAGAGGAGGTTTCACTCACCATCATCATAGTTCTTCCATCTACCCTATCTTGGAAAAGAAAATGTGTTGTGTTGTGTGGTCTTCGTTTCTGTGTTTATATAAGTCAAGGTTATCCCAGTATACAATGTAAAGAGTGAGCATGTGTGGCTTTTTACCTTCACATCCTCTCATTCTCTCGAATGTGTGACGAATTTTCAAGTCAAACACGTACTAACACGAATTAAGTGACGTGTAGCATGTATAACTGTTAGGCTTTAGATATAGGATAATCTACTCTGATACCATGAAAAAATAAAATATGTGTGTTGCAATTACACACAAAGTACTCTTTATATAAAGTCATATCCGTGACAAAATAAAATGTGATACGATCGCTTCTTGTGAAGAACTTCACGTAATAACAAACTATTACTGTAACCTTTTTGAAAACTTAAGATAATAACAAATATATTACCGTAACCTTTTTGAAAACTTAAAATATGTGTTTGGAAGTTTTCAAACGATATCTGTAAGCATTTTCTTGTTCATACAAATTGCATGAGATGGAGTAATTTCTTATGGATTTATGGGTCTCTCACATTTGACTATTCTGTGTGACTTTTGGGTTTTTTGGATTACTTTATTTGTTTATGCATCTGGTTTTGCAACTTTTTTTCTGTTGTTTTCAAGATTTTAGTTCAGATCTTTCTCCCCCCCTCTCTCTCTCTCTATCTCTGTCTTTCTCTTTCTTCTCTCTTTTTCTCTCTAGACAAAGTGCTTTGCTTTTCCCCCTTTCCCTTTCCAAGTAATTTCATTTTGTTTTTCAATTGTTTTTGTGTTCATCAGGACTATTACCAACTGTGTTTGATAACTTCTGTGCAAATGTGGTGGTTGAAGGCACTACTGTGAATTTAGGCTTACGGGACACTGCTGGTAACTCTCCCAACCCAAATTCTAATTTCATCTTATATAAATGCGTTCTCCGCCCATTGTTGAGCGATTTCGGAATTAGGGTTGGGTTGGCGTCTGTTTGGTTGCCTGGAAAATGTGGAAAGGAAAATGGGGTCATGGGGTTTCTTGATTTGTTGTTAGATTTGTGGGAACTGCAATTTCTGGTGAAATTTTTGTGTGAATGTTCTTAGGGGAAAAAAGTTACTTACTTTTTTTGGTTTTCTTAGCCACCAAATGGGAATAATTTCATTTTCTTTTATTTGTATTTGTAGTGATGTGATTCAGGTTCTATTTATTATGATTTTAAATCAAATGCCTTACTTCGTTTAGATTTACTACAAGATCTAATCTGTATCTTGCGGAAATGGTAAATAGGTCATTTTCGGAATGACATGAAATTAATTAGATATGGCATAAAAAGAGGGGATACTTAGTCTCATAAATCTATTGCAGTTGAAAAATGTATTTTGGCAAGGGTTCTTTGAGCTGATTAGGTGAAGAACCAAATTGTCTTGCATGCTTCTCATTTATTTTAAAAAATGGATTGGATTCCTATAAATATCTTAGTGAAGAACCAATTTCACGACCTTGCAGAGCTTTTTGAATTGAAGCCTTTTCTTGCTTGCAATTTTGAATTATTTCAAATTATCAATGACTATTTTTTTTCTTTCTTTTTTTACAACATTGTTGAGAATGGTTTTGCTTAAGCTTTGGAGTTCTTAACTCAGATACTCTCTTGGGTACGTTCCATATGAGTTTCAACTGCATATATGTATGTGGCTTTAGACTTGTTGGTTCAATAAATTGCAAGCCTTCATTTTAAAATCACTTTAGTCTAAAATGAGTGAGAAATGAAGTTGGTCGTATAGTATGTGTCGTAGTGTCATAAAAATCTGCCGCAATAGTGATACTGAGTAAATATTGGGATTTGTTGGATTTCCTTTCTTTTATTCACCTCTCCCAGACCCTGCGTAAAGTGGGAGCCTTGTGCACTGGGTACGACCTTTTTGTTTAGTGTGGATTCTCTTAGTCTTTTCTTTTGTAATTTTGGGTGCTTTCACATACCATATGTGAACTGCATGCCGCTTATGTGTTTTATGCAAACAGACTAGTTTTTTGAGATTACAACTTTTGTGAATAAAAGCTTATAAGTTCATCCTTTTGATTGTAAAGCGGCTCTTGATGTCAGCTGAATTGAATATAAGTTAAAATCAAACTGCTTTGATTTGTTCACCCATCTCTTGGTTATTTAAATTCTTTAGAGATGCCAATATTGATTTGTGATTTTATTGGATTCACTTTGATGAAATGTGTGTTATCTGCATTGTTGCATTTTAGGGGTGACACCGTTCGTACCGCCTTTGTAGTGCATCTTTTTATGCAAATTATTTACCATTCTGCCACTGGCTCTTTCTGCCCCTGCTGCTGTTGGTGGATTTCACGTTACTAACAAAATTACCACTGCCTCTTCATTCTTCGTTCGGTGAGGGTTTTGGGGATGGGAGGCCATGCCGCCTCTAAGATAGAGATAGAGAGGGAGAGGGAGGAGGCCATGCCGATAGACATAGACATAGAGATAAAGAGAGAGGGAGACAGAAACAGAGCGACTGAGGGAGATGGAGGAGTGGGGATCTTAGTGCCATTGCTACATATCCTCGATTTCATGAGTGGGAGAGGGGGGGACAGTCAGAGAAAACCATGGGGGCCGTCGGGATTTGAGGGAGAGGGGTAGGGATCGTGGCTGGGGGTCTAGGTTGGTCCCCTTGGTCCGTTTTCTACAGCACCACTGTGCTCAAACACTCTATCTCGCAGTGGAACTCTCTCCTCCCCTTACTCAATCCTCTGCTTCTTCTCTGATTCATGGTTGGTTGATTTCTAAAAAACCTTCGAGGATAAATTTGGGGTGGGATCTGGGTTTTCTGTGCATTACTTAAATTTTGCATTTTTTTCTTCTGGATTTTCAATTAAGAAATGAATAAATTTGGGGGTTTCTGGTTTTGTATTTTGCTGTTTATATGCTGCAATTACAGGAAAAGGAGGACAAGGAGTTGGACCCTGGATGTGCTCTCCTTCGTCCATCCTGCGTCTGCATGTCCTCATTCACAAGATAAGTACCATTTTTATAGTTGATTTTCTACTATTTGGTTTGGTTTTAATTCTCTCTGCCATTCTCACTCCACACTCTCTGTCTCTCACTCAGTTCAAAGCTCTTCAACTTTTTCGCACAAATTGCTCAAACATTCCAGCTCTCAAACATCTTAGATCCCTCACTCAGTTTAAAAGTATGTTTTTTTTGTTGTTTCTTGGTGAAAGATTGATCAGTGATGATTGCTATTGTTCATTCATGGTTGATTGAGCATTTTTGTTATATGAAACCATAGAGAATAGTTGCCTTTATGCTGAGTATTTTTATTTCTTGATGCATTTGTGTTGATCAGGCACGAAGGGACCAGTCGATACGAAGCGCATCTTTAGGATATACAGGTATAAGCAGCGTGGCAAAGAAGCTATAATGGCAAATAATTTTTTCTTTTACATTACCTATGAAGGGAGAGGTCGCACTTGGTGCGATGACAAGTGTCTTCGCCCATGAACGGTAGGTCTCGGGTTCGAGACTTGGGAGCAGCCTCTCCATAAATGGGGGTAAGGCTAGCCGACATTCACCTCTCCCAGACCCTGCGTAAAGCGGGAGCCTTGTGCACTGGGTACGACCTTTTATTACCTATGAAGGGACAGTCGATATTGATAAGATCTCAGACCCAGTAAGTATAGTTTCTGTTGACATTTGTATGATTTTTTCCATTATTGTTTGATAATTTTTTTCAGTACATTCTTTTTTCCTCTGTGCCAAAATCAGGTACAACAGCGTGCAACACAGGACCAAATTGCATACTTTGGGCAAACGCCATCCCAACTACTTACCTTCCCTCACTTGAAGAGGTTGCCATTAGCAGATGTTCTTCATTTACAGGTAACTTTCTTTGGAGAAACAAGAAACTTAGCTGAACCTTTCGGAATGTTTATTTTATTTCTGGAAATTATCCAATCTAAACATATTACATTGGGAATAACTGATGAGGATTCGATTTCTTATGAAAATATTATGCATGTTTTCTGTTAAAGAAAGATCATCTTGATATTTTGGAATGTCAGACCATCTTCCAGAACCCAAAAGAAGTCAAACCATATGCTGATTCTGCTCCTGAGCACTGCAATCTTCCTGCAGCTGCCATTCATGCTTCTTCAGATGCTGTAACACAAAACCCAGCTTTCGGCTATCCGCTGGCATCTCTCTGAAGGTTTGTGTACTATCTTATGTGGAATTGGGATGGGATGACTTTGAATACTTACCGTATATGAGGAAACGAAATTTGAAATGTTGCATTGATTAATTAGTAGAGAACGAAAGCATTGATACTATATGATTGTGTAGATTCAGTTATGTTGATTGAGTATTTGTTGGTGCATTGCTAATCAAAACTTTTTGTGGATTCAGTTAGATGTGTGAACTACATGTTTGTTCTGTTTCTTAAGGAAACAGAACTTTTTGGGTAACCATCTCTTCCTAATCAAACCGTACAATTTCTTCCTACTCATTGTACAATGTGTTTATATGCCAGCTCACTTGAATGTATAAAAACAAAACTGCTTATCTTATTGATCTTATTCACTCATTTATTCCTTTGTTTGTTCATAATTGTGTTGAATTTATTCAACTTAAAAGTGTTTTATTCATCCGATTACGCTTTAAACAGCTGGTTCCTGCGGCAACGTGCATGCCTAATTTCTAGTACAATCTAAATTTGAGATTTATATATTAGTGATTAGCCAACTCAATTCCTCATCAGAAAAACAGTTCCGACACTGCACACAAATGCTTCGATTAGGAAAATTGCCCGCAATATATATGAAGGCCAAAGGTTGCAAAAACGATGTTTTGTTCGTCGGCTTCATAGTCCTATGTAGGAAACGGAATTGTGTGTATGGGTGTGTCTGCTGCACTTGTTTGTTTATATAAAGGTAAAGATCATCCTGATACAAAGTAGTAGAATAGGCCAAAGGTTGCAGAACAGAGAAGGTTTCATTCACCAGGTCATAGTCAAATCGAATCTAGGAAAAGAAAATTGTGCATTTGCGTGTGCTTTGTTTGTGTGTTTATATAAAGGTCATCCCAGTATATTATTTTAAGATCATCCATGATTTCATATGAAAACAAAAATAAAGTGCTAATTGCTATAAAAAACTTACATATATATATATATATATATATGTGTGTGTGAGTTTTCAAATTATTGATTGATACATATGAGCTAAAACATTAATAGTTCTTGGTCTAAATGAATATGGAATAGCAATAGCTTTGGATTTTTCTTTTCATTTATCCAATAGATTTTTACTGGCATGGGAAATTTGGAGGGATGGAAAGTAGGTAAGTAGGAAAGTCGGAGGGTGTAGTTGTCCAATTACCAAACTATGCGTATAGATGACATTGGAAAAGTAACCGATGGAGTCCACAACTATAAACTCAATCAATGTATCTAGTAGTTAAACTTAAGGATCGCTAATTTTATTTTGATAAATAAACATACAAGGACTATGGATTCATATTCTTATATCCATCATTCAAAGTGAATATGGAATAGCAACAGCTTTGAGAGGATTTTTTCTACGTACGGTTAAACCAGTAGATTCGGTCATGTCTAAATCCTCCGCACTTGCTCCGCTAGGCAATTCCCAATCGTACTTGTGCACAGTACTTGCTAAGGCGATCTCAATAATAGCAATCGCAAAATGAATTCCCGGGCAGATCCTCCTACCAGCTCCGAACGGAATCAACTGAAAGTCAGTCCCTTTATAATCTATCTCACTATTCAAGAACCTTTCTGGCTCGAAATCTTCTGGTTTTTCATAGACCTTGGGATCCCTTCCAATGTGCCATGCATTGATCATAACTTGTGTCTTGGCTTTGATGTTGTAACCATTTATTTCCACGTCTTGGGTCGACAACCTGGGCACTAGTAATGGAAGTGGTGGATGTAATCGAAGAGTTTCCTTTATCACCGCCTTCAAGTAGTGCATTTCGACCAAATCATCCTCCGTGAGTACGTCTGTTTTGCTTACGGCTATTCCCCTTACTTCTTTCTGCAATTTGTTCATGACCCTTGGATTCCTTAAAAGCTCAGTCATTGCCCACTCTAGTAATGTAGATGATGTATCCGTACCAGCAGCAAACATATCCTACAAGAATGAAATGTTGATTAAGACATTAGCCTCTAACTTCTAAAGTAGAGAGAGAGAGAGAGAGAGAGAGAGAGAGAGAGAGGGTTACCAAGATGAGAGCTTTTATAGTAACTGTATCAATAGGAAAACCTGCCAAGTTTTCTTTCTGAACTGCAAGCAAAACGTTGACAAAATCGTTCCTGTCATCATCTTCACTCTTTGAACTACACTTCATATGCTCTTGAATAACTCCACATATAAAGTCATCAAACTGCTTAGCCACCTTGTCTACCTTGGCCACCAAACCATTGACATGGCGCAACCAAGAAAGCCACGGTATATAGTCCCCGATGTCGATAATTCCCAATAATTCTGCGAACTCCCTCAAAAGCTCCGAAAACATCCTCCCATCTTCTCCACCATTGTACGTCCTCCCCAGAGCCACTCTACATACCACATCATTAGTAAGCCTCACAAACATTTCGCTTAAATTCAGAAGGGATGATGACGAATGCTTTATCTTGCTGATCATGGATATGGTTTCCTCTTCTCTCACCGAGCGAAAAGACCGAACTCTTTTGTTGCTCAAAAGATTTAAGACGCATATACTTTTTACCTGCCTCCAGTACTCACCATAAGGAGCAGATGCAACGTCGTTGTAGTTGTATAGAAGCTTCTCAAAGATGGTGGACTTGGGACGATTAGAAAATGTAAGGTCATGGGTTTTCATGATCTCACGGGCAGCCTCAGCTGAAGATACAACTAGGACTGGGACACTTCCAAAGTGGAGAAGCATGAGAGGGCCATGGCGTTGAGATAAGGCTTGAAACGAGCGATGAGGGTGCAACCCTACTTGGTGCAAGTTCCCAATGATTGGGAGCTTCGGTGGAGAAGGTGGTGAAGGGGTTTTGTTGGTGGTTGTAGCGGAGGAGTACCATCTGTATAGGAGGATGAGGAAAATGGCCAGCAGAGTGAAGGCCAAAGGTTGCAAAAAAGAAGAGGTTTCACTCACCATCATCATAGTTCTTCCTTCTACCCTATCTTGGAAAAGAAAATGTGTGTTGTGTGGTCTTCGTTTCTGTGTTTATATAAGTCAAGGTTATCCCAGTATACAATGTAAAGAGTGAGCATGTGTGACTTTTTACCTTCGCATCCTCTTATTCTTTCTTATCTCTTATGTGACCAATTTTCAAGTCAAATGCGTGCTAACACGAATTAAGTGACGTGAAGCATTTTTTAGCTGTTAGGCTTTACACATAGAGCAATCTACTCTAATACCAGGAAAAAATAAAATGTGTGTGTTGCAAATATATTACCATTCTAAAGTCTTCTCAGCGTGTGGGCATTCACCCCACTACTTTTACAACATTACATACGTATTTGGAAGTTTTCAAACGATATCTGTAAGCATTTTCTTGTTCATACAAATTGCTTGAGCTAAAACATAAAAGTTCTTGGTCTCAAATAGGCCACGTGTAAGAGGAGATGGTCCACATAATCTGCAGTTTTGACTGAAAAGACAGCCAATTTGGGGAGCCACATAAAATTTACGGACTCAATTTTTTCTACATACTAATATTTCTGAGCTTTTTGGGTGGTTCTAGGCACTGATAGATTTATTAGGATGCATTTGTTACATTGAATTATCTTGGATTAAACTATCTTTAGAAACTAAGCTGAACTAGGGATGACCAAAATACTCATGGGTTTGGGTAATTACGGTTACCCGCTCATTTAAAGTTCACGGTTACGGTTATGGGTAACCGTTTAGACAAACAAACGGTTATGAGTATAACCGTTTATCTATGAAATTTAAATGAACGGTTATGGATATTACCCGCGGCTATAACGAATATCTATCGGTTATGAGTATTACCCGCTGTTATAATGGGTATCTATTTACCTATTTAATTTAATATATGTAAAATTTTAAAAACTAATCTTTATTTTTATTTTTTACTTTTGTAACGAAAATCACCTTTGTTTATATATTGTAATATTCAATATATAATGGTTATAACCGGTTATAACGGATACTATATCTACCACAGGCTGTATTCCATTGCCGCGGTATGTGCTTACCAGTGACTTCAATTCATCTTTGTTTATATATTTTGTATTGAGATCATAGAGCCTTCCCGGCATGTATCCGTAGCAAGGAAAGCTATAAGGTGAAGCCTCAGTACAAGAATTGTCATATAACACAAAAAACTTAAAACAAAATCTGGTCTGGACTAGTGACAAGGTTCGAAAGAGAGTTTAGGACAGATAAATACCATCATCTGAAATAGCATGAGAGGGTGGAAAAAGCCGAGCATTTGTGATTCCAGAACTAGCTAGGTTTTGTACAGACTGCTTTAAATTGATACCCGTTATAACGATATACTGGTAAGCACATACCGCGGTTATAATGAAAATTATGATAATTTTTTTTTTTGTAATTTTCAAGTTGTTAAAAAGAACATGTAGACAGGTGAAAAAATGGGTAATTGGATAAAAAAATGATAAACGGGTTCAAAAACGGGTAAACGGTTATGGTTAAATGAGTACACGGTTATGGGTATGGTTAACCATTTATAAACGGTTATGGGTATGGGTATAACTGTTTATGCAATTACCCAACAGGTAAACAGTTATACGGGAATGAACATAAACGGTTATGGGTAAATAACCGCGGTTACCCGTCTGCCATAACCGTTGCCCATCCCTAAGCTGAACTGAATTAAGCTAGATTAAACTAGACTAATTTAATAAAAGTTTTGGTGCATTGTCGAACTAAAAAGTAAGAGAATAAAAATTAGTAAAAAGTGAACCTGAACAATCACAACAGAGGAATTTCAGTCAACAACATGGTATATTAATCAACCCACAATCAAATCCTAATTTGCAAAATCAATGAATTCACACAAACTTTTATGCTTCAAAGATTCATGTTATCAGAAAAAATCCTTCAAAGATTTATTTCAACATCAAAATCAATGAATTCACACAAACTTTTATGCTTCAAAAAATCATATCAGGTAAAAAAAAAAAAACCTTCAAAGATCAAAGAAAGAATGACATGATGAAAATTTCCCAAATCTAAAGGAAATTTCCCAAAATATGAAGGAAAATTACTGAAATTCAACATGAAAAAACAGAAATGGAAGATATTCTGAAAACCCAACCCCAATTAGAGTTGTAAATTTCAAATAAAGCAAAATCTAGGGTTTAAGATGGCAATCCAATCCACTAACCCATCAAAAGAAAATTAACCCAACTACAATTCAACAGAGATCGACATGAAAGACCAGAAAACCCAAATGAATTTAGAAATCAGAAAGCTAGGGCACCCAAATCCAAGGCAAACTTGTTCGTCTTCTTTTCCTTCAACTGCTAGGACTCCGATTTCATGACGCGACAGAAAGCACCAAACGAAGACCATCGCCAGCAATACAGGTCCGTTGTCGATTGTTTATATGTTGGGCGACTACGAGGTGGTGCGACAAGGAAGGAGAAGGGAAGGGGCGAAGGTGCGAAGGCACGAGGGAGCAAGCTACTGCTACGGTTGATGTGCGAATGTACGACGGAGAAGGGAGATCACGGGATTACAAGGTGGCTTAGCAGTTCTCTCCGAATCGGGGGGGGGGGGGGTCTCGCTAAGACCTATTAGCAAGGGAACTTAGTCCAGTGAAAGACAGTAAGTGCAAACAAACACACCTTTAAGGGACCAGAGTGATCTTGGACCATCCAAAAGCTTGAATGAGTGGCCATGTGAACCACCCAAGTCTGGGCTGTGGGGGAGGAGGAGCAGTCATGGCTGCAAATTAAGTTACAAGTTCTGCTGCAGCCAAAGGAAAGAGGGAGAAGAAACAATTTTTTCTTAGATCCTCCGGCGGATCTGGAGACTGCTTCATGTCCTCATAAATGTTCATTGCATCTGCAGGACAACCAGAGTTCAAAAAACCCCTGACAACTTCTGTATATGTTTGAGAATCAGGAAACAGATCCTCCTTTTTCATGCTGTCGCACAGTAGCATAACATCCTCCATTTTCTTAGATCTTGCTAATGCAATAATTAAGTCCTAATACAGATAGACATCCGGTTTGTACCAGTCTTGCTTTCGAATAACATTAAATACCCCAAAATTCACCAAGTTGCTTGTAATTCCAATAAACAAAGACATATATGTTCATTGCATATGTAGTTAAACAGAAATAAAGATGTGCAGTCTAGAAGGAATTCATTCCAAATAATGGTCTAAATGTACTCTGATAAACAAGTCTGCAAAACCACAGCATACCTGTAATGTGGTTCGGCATTTAACACAGGAAACAACGAATAAGGAAAGCACCATTGTGTATTTGAAGAGTTGGGTTTCAACATTTCACCATTGTGCAAAACCACAGCATACCTGTAATGTGACTCTCATGAATGAGATTTCAACATTTCACCATTACTAGCTATTTCCAAATCCAAAGAGCTGTCCTAGCACCTATAACTACAAACAACAACAACAACAACAACAAAGCCTTTTCCCACTAAGTGGGGTCGGCTATATGAATCCTAGAACGCCATTGCGCTCGGTTTTGTGTCATGTCCTCCGTTAGATCCAAGTACTCTAAGCCTTTTCTTAGAGTCTCTTCCAAAGTTTTCCTAGGTCTTTCTCTACCCCTTCGGCCCTGAACCTCTGTCCCGTAGTCACATCTTCGAACCGGAGCGTCAGTCGGCCTTCTTTGCACATGTCCAAATCACCGGCCCTGAACCTCTGTCCTAGCACCTATAACTACAAGTGAAAAAAATGCCCGTCTTGAGTCAAAAGATGGATTTGGCCACGAAAACCACGTCACTCCGATCGCGCTTTACCATACACCATGAACCTGCACTACTAACGGGAAGACCCAGAAACACTTATACTAAAGCTAAGCATTGCTTCTAATACTGTATTGACAAAGCATTACTGAAGGTGCCCAAGATCACACATTGAGTCAGGCATTCAACCAAATACATAGCGTGCAACCCACGGAGCCCCATTTCGCAACGACTGTAAACTAACAACACATAAGTGGATTCACACAGCACAACTTCAACACCCAAAGTACAAAAATTTCAGAACAAACCAGAAGATCAAATGCAAAACATTCACAAAATTTAATCACAGAAATTCAATACCTTAATTGCCAAAGCGACTTCTTCCTGGCGCTTGAGCTCAGTGAGAACAACAATCATATCCATCTTCAACAGTCTCAAAACGGGGGTATTTACAAACTTCCCGAGCATCTCTTCGTCGTCCTCGAACCGCTTCAAACCCGAGATTACGAAAAGCGCTTCTTTGCCGATCAGCTTTTTGACCCTCCAGAGCGGTCCTCTGGGCCTCCCGTCGTGATACAGCCTCAGCCCACGAATGGATCTCCAGGACTCGAGTTCAAGTTCTGTGGATTTTAGAAGCATTGGGGTCGACTTGATGGGCGTTGTTTTCAGGTTTTGAAGGAGTATTGAAGAGAAAAATGCGAACTTTGATCGCGAAAATGCACGAGTCGCCATTGGAGGTTTGATGAAGGGGACGAATTGGTGATCCGCAGTGAGGGTGATGAAGGGATCGAGTTGGTCAGTGAGACTGATGCAGGTTTTGTTTGGGAAATGAGAAGCTACTGCTGCTCCAAATGAAAGAAGGAGAGTGGGGCGCTGGGGGTTTGGCATAGGGCTTTACGGTCGTAGATAGAAACCTTCTTATGTTTTCATGTTCCCGAAAAGAGAGAAAAATTAAAAAAATTTAAGTATGTTATTGCCAATCCAACATTCTCAATTTCTTATTATACACTTGTTATAAATATTTTTTTATAATTTAAAAAGTTTGAAGTGCACGATAAATTGTTTATAAATTGAAATTGGCTTTAGTCCTTTGTTTTTACAAAAGTTGCATTTTGCTCACATTCCTAATTTCAGATAACCGTTATATTCTCTTTAAAAACTTGTAATGAATTTGTTTAAGTAACTAAGTTTACTTATACATTTAATTAAATCTTTAAAGAAAAGAATAATAGCCAAATGATTCATAACAAAATTACCGTTTATTCCTTTATCGATATCCTATCAATTAAACAATTGTTGAATTTCCTATTTGTATTCCCCAATATTTTAATTATTTTTCTTTTTCATAAAGACTAAATTAAATTATAGATAATCATAGTTAGTAAATAAACTCGTGACACGATTTTAGAGGAAGATAACAGTTATCTTGCGTCAGGAGCGAGCAAAAAGACACTCCTCCTACAAACTCACCAACTAAAAATGGTTTTACTTTAGAAATACGGGAACTTTAACGAAAAGCTCCTGATACTGTTCATTTTAACGAAAAATCACATTTTTACACTAAAATGTCAATCCTGATACTATTCATTTTACCCTTTATTTTGCCTTATTATTAAAACTCAAAGTTTTCAAATCATTTTCATTAATTTTCCTTAGAAATACACTCTCTTTAGTTATTTTTAACCCAAAGCACCCTTAACTTACTATTCATATTGTACTTCATCGAAAAAAATTAAATTAGTGGTATTTTGGGGAAAGAAGTAGAGAGGATTCTCGCCGGATCATCGCGCGGATTCTTTTTTGTGAGGATTATAAAAAATTTCTATTCATATTCACTCATCGTAAATTATGTGGTTAGTTTTCGTTAAATACGATTTATATTTAATTTTAAATAATAATTTATAATAATTTTTTACCGCACAAGTATGTAATTTTAGGATCCGCAAGGATTCTCGCCCGAATGAGGAAGCTGTATTTTATTAGTCATTGACCAACTCAGTTCCGCAAAAGAAACAGTTCCGACACACACAAATGATCTGATTAGGAAAATTGGCAACTATATACGCGAAGGCCAGGATGTTTTGTTCATCGGCATCATAGTCCTGTGAAAAAAGAAAGAAAAAGAAATAGCATGTCTGCTGCACTTGTGTGTTTATTCACCATCTTCTTCCTCTATTACCTCTTCTGTTACCTGGCCAACCCTATCCACCTCCAACTTCTGCCTCCGTCGAACCCACCTTCTCTCCTCCTCCAATCTTTGCCTTCCTTGAACCCACCCACAACATCTGCTTCCGTCGAACCCATCCCCGTCTCCTCCTCCTATATCCTCCGTCGAGAAGGAATGGAGTCATTGCTCGACTTCATGTTCAGTGGTGAAGGTTCAAGAAGGTAAAGTATTGTGCTGTTTTCTTCACAAAATCGGGGAGCAGAGAGTTAAGGGGCTGATGAGCAGCGGTGGTGGAAGGTGCGGAGGATGTGGGGGAATTGGTGTTGGTTTAGGTACAAGTCCATAGCCTTTTAGGGAATTTTAAAGGAACATTTTTTAGTACTGTTTATTTTTAATAAGAAATCACATTTTACATTTTTTTAGTACTATTTATTACACTTTTATTTATTATTTTTTATTAAAATTAAATTTTTTTTAAATTTTTCGTTAGTTTTTCTTATAAGAGGTATACGTTCATAAAGTGACTGATACAATCCACAGCTATAAACTAAATCAAATATCTAGTAGGTAAACTTGAGGATCGCTAATTTTATCTTGATAAATAAAACATATACGGAGGACTATGAATTTCATTTTCTTATATCCATCTTTCAACATGAATATGGAATAGCAACAGCTTTGAGAGGATTTTTTCTATGTATGCTTAAACCAGTAGATTCAGTCATGTCTAAATCCTGCCCACTTGCTCCGCTAGGCAATTCCCAATCGTAGTTGTGCACAACACTTGCTAAGGCAATCTCATTAATTGCCATGGCAAAATGAATTCCAGGGCACATCCTCCTACCAGCTCCGAACGGAATCAACTGAAAGTCAGTCCCTTTATAATCTATCTCGCTATTCAAGAACCTTTCTGGCTCGAAATCTTCTGGTTTCTCGTAGACCTTGGGATCCCTTCCAATGTGCCATGCGTTGATCATAACTTGTGTTTTGGCTTTAATGTTGTAACCATTTATTTCCACGTCTTGGGTCGACAACCTGGGCACTAGTAATGGAAGTGGTGGATGTAATCGAAGAGTTTCCTTTATCACCGCCTTCAAGTAGTGCATTTTAACCAAATCATCCTCCGTGGGTCCGTATGTTTTGCTTCCGACTATTCCCCTTACTTCTTTCTGTAATTTTTTCATGACCCTTGGATGCCTTAAAAGCTCAGTCATTGCCCACTCTAGGAATGTAGAGGATGTATCCGTACCAGCAGCGAACATATCCTACAAGAATGAAATGTGTTGACTAAGACATTAGCCTCTAACTTATAAAGTAGAGAGAGAGAGAGAGAGAGAGAGAGAGAGAGAGAGAGAGAGAGAGAGAGTTACCAAGATGAGAGCTTTTATTGTAACTGTATCAATAGGAATACCAGACAAGTTTTCTTTCTGAACTGCAAGCAAAACGTCGACAAAATCGTTCTTGTCATCATCTTCACTCTTTGAACTACATTTCATATGCTCTTGAATAACACCAACTATAAAGTCATCAAACTGCTTAGCCACCTTGTCTACCTTGGCCACCAAACCATTTACATGGCGCACCCAAGAAAGCCACGGGATATAGTCCCCCATGTCGATAATTCCCAATAATTCCATAAACTCCTCCAAAAGCTCCGTAAACATCCTCCCACCTTCTCCACCATTGTGCGTCCTTCCCAGAGCCACTCTACATACCACATCATTAGTAAGCCTGACAAATATTTCGCTTAAATTCTGAAGTGATGATGACGATTGCTTTATGTTTCTGATCATGGATATGGTTTCCTCTTCTCTCACCGAGCGAAAAGACCGAACTCTTTTGTTGGTCAAAAGATTTAAGACGCATATACTTTTTACCTGCCTCCAGTACTCACCATAAGGAGCAAATGTAACGTCGTTGTAGTTGTATAGAAGCTTCTCAACGATGGTGGACTTGGGACGGTTAGAAAATGTGAGGTCGTGGGCTTTCATGATCTCACGGGCAGCCTCAGCTGAAGATACAACTAGGACTGGGACACTTCCAAAGTGGAGAAGCATGAGAGGGCCATGGCGTTGTGATAAGGCTTGAAACGAGCGATGAGGGTGCAACCCTACTTGGTGCAAGTTCCCAATGAATGGGAGCTTCGGTGGAGAAGGTGGTGAAGGGGTTTTGTTGGTTGTTGTAGCGGAGGAGTACCATCTGTATAGGAGGATGAGGAAAATGGGCAGCAGAGTGAAGGCCAAAGGTTGCAAAAAAGAGGAGGTTTCACTCACCATCATCATAGTTCTTCCTTCTACTCTATATTGGAAAAGAAAATGTGTGTTGTGTGGTCTTCGTTTCTGGGTTTATATAAGTCAAGGTTATCCCACTATACAATGTAAAGAGTGAGCATGTGTGACTCTTTTACTTTCACATTCTCCCATTCTCTATCATGTGTGACAAATTTCAAGCCAAACAAGTGCTAACACAAATTAAGTGATGTAGAGCATGTGTGGCTATTGGGCTTTACATAGGGCAATCTACTCTGATACCATAAAGAAAGTTGATGTTCTATCATAAAACCAATTAGCAATATGAGGAGTAGCTCAACGTCTTATAAGTCCTTGCAAGATTTCTCTTTTCATTGCTGTTGAATTGTTTTACCTTCATATCCTCACATGCGTTGAGAACGAATCTCACCTTGATCAGATTAGAGACTTCATGGACTTATAAATAAATTGGTCTCCTTTTATTGGATGAAACTTTTTTACCTTCACATCTTCACACAGTTGAAAATGAATTCATATTAATAGAAGAAGAAGCCTTGAACTTGTGTAGACTTACAAATAAATTGAGATATTCCCAACATTACCAATTAATTTCATAAAGAAACTTCAACTTTCTTTATAAAAATCACCCATGATTCTATAAGTAAAAAAAAAAAAAATACTAATTGCTAAAGAAGCTTAGATGCTATAAATAGGGAAAAGTTAGTACTGGTTAGATACTAAGATACTTTTATAAAAAGTTGGTATAAAAAAAGTTGAGCTCAAAAGGTGTTTGATAAACACTTAAAAACAACTTATTTTCACAATTTCGGGTGAAAAAAAACTGAAAATGTGAAGTAGCAAAAATGAGTTTATTCTCAAAGTACAGCAGAAACATGTTTTTTCAAAGCACAACAATACCTAACCTTTACTAGGGATATGAGATGACACTATTAAGTTTCGTAACTATAATACAAAAGATTGCAGGAATGAGGAAATGAGAGATATTGATATTATTGATTTGCTTCTTTTCGTAGCTGTGTGTGTTACAATTACACACAGAATGCTATTTATATAAAACGGCATCCGTGACAAAATAATATATGAAATGATCGCTTCTTTTGAAAAACTTCGCATAATAACAAACTAATACTGTAGCTTTTTTGAGAACTTAAGATAATAACAAATATATTACTATTCTAAAGTCTTCTCAGCGTGTGGGCATTCACCCCACTACTATTACAACATTACATATATATTTGGAAGTTTTCAAAACGATATTTGTAAGGTTTTTTGCTTCACAAGAACATAAAGGTACTTGGTCTCAAATAGGCCACGTGTGAGAGGAAATGGTACACATGATCTGCAGCTTTGATTGAAAAGACAGCCAATTTGGGAAGCCACATTAAACTTAACGGACTCAATTTTTTCTTAAACATATCCATATTTCTGAGCCTTTTGGTACTAGGCACGGACAGATCTATTAGAATACACGTTTGTTACACCGAATCATCTTGAATTAGATTAGTTTTAGAAACTAAGTTGAACTGATTTAGA